GTGGTCGTTCAAGCATAGTATCCTGCAACAAATGTTGTGTTTTATAATATTGTACTTTTAATATTAGGCTTTTAAAGGGACTAATGATAAATTATCATCATTTAGTAAATATTGCTTTTTTAAAGATTAGTCTGCAAAGTCTCCAATACTACTGACCCCACCTCCTCATTCCCACTCCACTCCTGCCGTCACTCGAGGGCAAACATCTCGACATGCGTCTCAGTTTTCCACCTTTCTAAGAACCATGTTCCCGTCTCTGAGGCGTGTTGATGTCGCTCACGCTTCAGGGCCCGGTCGGGGAGTTACTTCGGGGGCTGCTGGTTTCTGGCCGGCTGCTCAGCTGACGGGCTGCTGGAGGAGACTCAGACTCATGCTCCACTGACCCAGTATTTCACCAGGGGGGAGTGTTTTGTAACTTCGGCCCCTCCGGCACGACACAACACTGATTGAGGGCGCCGCCGAAGCATTACACATCACACACACAGACACACACACATATGCACAACCGGGGGAGGTGTTACAAGGATAGAGGAAGACGAGGTAGTAAGTGGATAATCTATTTCTGAAAGCCACATGAGAGGGACAGATGAGAGTTTGGGAGAAAATGGAGGCTTTTGTGATTAACAGGATCTGACATTTTCTCCTGGGGTTCCTGAACGCACCAAAAAAAAGAGTATCTGTCTGATACTGAACACAGAAAAATCCTCTGAATCTTTTTGACGGGCAAAAAAAACAGCAGGTGTGATCTGTGTTTTTGATAATCTTTACTTATTTCCCTGTGTGTTTGTGTGTGTGTGTGTGTGTGTGTGTGTGTGTGTGTGTGTGTGTGTGTGTTCCAGTTTTGCTCAGGGCCCGCTGAAAGACGCTCCCAACCTGATCTGCACACCGCACACAGCCTGGTACAGCGAGCAGGCCTCTCTGGAGATGAGGGAGGCGGCCGCCACCGAGATCCGAAGAGCCATCACCGGTACATGAACGCATTTAAATTAAATTTTGTTCTCAAACAAAACATTAAATCTTTTCTTTTCTCCTCCACTGCTTCTTTCACATCCCTCAGCCTCAGTGTGCTATGTGACCTGTTGCACGTCGTTCCCTCCCAGATGTCACATTTCCACTTGAATGGGCTCTGGGCAGCCTTTATTAAATCTGGACGTCTTAATAGACGTCATCATTAGCTTCCCCGACGCAGAGCAGAGCCCGCAGCGCTGGCCTCTCTCAAAACATCCAGCTTGTTAAATGAGCTTTATTTGCATGTGTGCGTCCAGGCCTGATGTGTTTGTCGGTCTGAGCTCATCAACACATCTGGTTTCCTCGCCGCTCCTTTAACGCGTCGTGGTCTTTTGTCGCAGGTCGAATCCCCGACAGCCTACGAAACTGCGTCAACAAGGAGTTCTTCGTCACCACGGCACCGTGGGCAGTTATGGATCAACCAGGGGTTCACCACGAGCTCAACGGCGCCGCCTACAGGTAAGAACCAAATGATAAATTTAGCTCTTCTTTCTATTTCATAAACATTTATGTTTTTTTTTTTTATCTTTAATCAAGAGCTTTCAGTTATTGACTCTAAACTGTGTGCTCGCACTCAAATATACTCCAGCTTCAGTTCTTCTCTTTGCGCTCATGTTGCTTCTGTGCCTCAGATTTCTCTCGTGCTCTAGGTTTTAATTTTACGCTTGAATTTTTTTAATGCAAAATGTCTTTCAATACAGAGTGTATTTGAGTGAGAGCTTTAAAAATATGACTGTGAAATCAATAAGTCCTGCTCTCATACTGAAGACCACGCTCTTGAGTAAAGGTGGAAAAAGAAAATGATTTTCCTTTAATATTTCTCTAGCAAATAAATTGTTGACCATTGTATTTTATATCCTTGTAGTTGATTTGTTTTAACTATTTTGTTTTAACAAATGCTAGACGGTCATAAACAGTTATTCATCTTTAGTATTTTTTATTTTTCATTCCCTTCTTGCTACGTTTAATTCCTCTCTCTTCTCCTCTGTATTGATATTTTATAATCTAAATGAATCACTGACTACTCTGCTGTAGACCCTAGTGTCCCACCCCCTCACTAACCGCCCTGTGTAGCTGTAGCGTTGTAACTCTGACCACCATGTTGCCCCCCCCCCCCTCCCTCTGGGCGCTTCCTGATCTCAGCATGTCCACCTCCATGTGCTTCTCTCACACAGCCAAGTGAACCAAACTCTTCAGGCCGTAACAACCGGCGTCCCCCAAGACAAAATTAATGCCTAGATCAGGAGCAGGTAAATACGACCGATCCGGGCCGACAGCCTCTTCCCTGGAGGTCCCGGATAAAAACTCTTCCCCCTGATGGTCACCTGATGTGTGTCCCCCCCCCTCTATAACCCCCCCCCAGCTCCCACCTGTTTGACTGAACACAGCGTAGAGATGGATGGAAGTGAATGTGGGTTGTTTTTTTGGAATGTCCCAGTAAGCATGAGGTGAAGCCATTCACATGCATTCTTATGGATGGAGTCATGCTTTATGGTTTCTCTCTTTTATGGGGTTTTTGGGCACGTTCTGTTAAACTGAACTCTGTCGTTCTTTTTCTCCTTCTCTGGTTGAATGGTGTGTTTTTCTTCCCCCAGAATATTCTTATTTAAAGGCTCTTTTCCACCAAAAAAAAACTGAATCAGGAATTGTGTATTTGCTTCATCTCAAAAACAATAAAGTTCAGACTAATTATACCATTGAAGAATAAAATCTTTGCTTAAGATACGATTTTGTGGAGATGTAACTAGTTTTTTAAATAATTCATCAAGCAAAATGTGAAACTTTAATGGTTTCAGCTTCTTAAATGTGAAGATTTGCGTCAGCAGCTTTTAATTCCAACAGTTTGAAGCCGTCACCTCGGGCGCTCAGAACCTGTAAAACCTCTACAAACATTTCTGACAAAACACTCATAGAATATCTGCAGCTGCAGCCCAGACATTCTTTTTCATGGAGACAACACAGTTCCTTTTTTAAATTTAGCGTTATGCAATTGTGAATTGATTTTTAAAGTACGTTATATAGGGCACAGACAGAAAGGAAAAAAATCCAGTTTTTTTCAAAACATTATTTTCATTATCAATTAATCTACCAGTATTGAATCCATTAATTGTTTGTTTCAGTCTATAACATGGTGACAAAGAATATTCGGTTGTCTCTCTAATCTAAGATATATATATTTATTTTATCTTATCTTTATCGTCTTTAAAGTCTATGGAAGCAAAATATTGTTTCGTTTCTTTTGAGACGTATGTGAAACACTCAACATCAATTAAGAGATTTATACAATGACAAGAATCCACACTTCAAGTGTTTGACAGCAAAAGAAAAAAGCTCCACCCCAGTAATTCCTAAATAGTTGTAAAGCTAAAAGTTTTTTATAAAGTGTCTGGAAAAACTTCCTGTGGTGAAAAGAGCCAATAGTTTCACAAGATGGCAGAAATGTTCACTCTGGGAATCGCACCATCCGCAGCACTAACCTTTGACCCTCCTGTTCACCAGATACCCGCCAGGTGTGGTTGGAGTGGCTCCGGGCGGCATCCCGGGAGCGTTAGAGGGCATCGTCCCGGGTGGGGTGCCCATCGCCCATACCATGCCCTCTGGTACACACCCCTCCCAGGCCCCGTCGCCCAACCAGCCCTCCAAACACGGCGAAACCAGAGAGCACCTCACCGAGCAATAGCAGCAGAAGGGATACGAGCAACGGCGACATCTCATCCGACCCGTCGACACTCAGAACCAACGGAACGCAACTGGGACCAAGAGACAGTGAAACGACACAAGCGGCTGCCTGTTCCATCAGTCAGCAACTGGGAACAGAACGTGTTCCGGGGGAATTTGTACTTTTAACGTTTTAGTTTTTACTCTCTGTCTCTTTGGCTTCAGTACCGACTTTAATCTTTCATGATGATGTTGTTTTCTTTTTTTTGTTTTGGTTGGTTTTTCTTCGGGACATGCCTATGATTGTGGACACAGAGTCCAGTGTTTTTAGCTCTCCGGGATGATGACCCGATGAGACTCGGTCCCGACGCCCCCACCCCTTCACCCTCGTCCCTGCCCCTTCACCTCATGGGAAACGTAGGCCCACGTCTCAACACGACAAGAGCAAAATAAACTTTGGCATCATGTGCTACTGGACCTTATCCTAATCAAACCCCCCCCCCCTCATCATCCTCCCCGACCACCCTCCCCCACCCACTCCCCTCCTCTGCCCACCTCCTCCCTTATGTAACTAATGTGTGTTGTTTAGGCCCCTCATTACGCCTCAGAAGAGAATTCTTTTTGTTTTGTGTTTTCTTTTCCAATCTTTAGTGTGAATGACTAAAAATGGATTATTGAAGTAAATATATTTATCATTCGTCAAACGAAAAGGAAAAGATTGCTCATCACTTAAAGTAATCTAGAGTGGGTTTTAACCCTTTCCTGGCAATATAAACACAGCTCGCACGGCTGCGGTTACACGTCTTCACCACTCGGGGGCACTTGTACATCCTTCTCCTCGTAGGGTTGCTCCAGTACACTTTGTTTGGAGCGCTCTCTGCAGTAAACACTAACAAACACTTTCACTTTATACGACTGATTGTAGCTGAATTTAAAGAGTTGAAGCTTCCAGCTGGGTATTTAGCGTTTGTTTTTGAAAATGGAGAGTAGGTGATGTGTCAGCGTGAGCTGTGAAGAAGAGAGCGTTTAAAAATAATCACTGAAATAAGAAGGCCGGTGTGACAGCGTCTGATTCTTCTGTGCTGACCAACGGACATTTCTGATGGCGGACAGCTCGTCCAAACTTGGCGACGGCGTGCACACCGAGCCTCCCTCCTTTCTTTGAGCACATTTCACACTCTGCGGACAGGAAAGGGTTAAAGCAAACTTCATTTCTTAACGACTCAGGAAAAACACTTTTTTGCAGATATTGTTTATTCCCAGAATTTTGTCTTTGAGGAAAAAAAAGATTTAAGACTAATCTAGTCTGGATATTTTCTCTCTTCCCTCATCCTCTCCATTGTGGTATTTTTATATACAAGGCGCATCCCATGTTTTTGGTGTTAAAAGAGTTTTGAAGAGTCCTGTTAGATTTGTATTGCCTAGTTGAATGTTCCTATAACCATAGTCCTATGTGATCCAACCTCTCTCTTCTCTCCTTCTTCTATTTTCTTTGTTCTATTGAAGGCCAGGTTCTATTTGGGGGCATCCTGTACTCTGTAAGAGCAATAGCAGAAACTCCTACTTAGTGTCCCAAACAATAGCAGAAGAGGCAGCCGGGAGTATGTTTTTGTTTTTAGTGTGAGTATTTGTATTTGTTTCTTGTACAAGGTGAACATTTAGCATTCAGTGCAGTTTAAATAAAAAGATACAATACTTTGTCTGCTCTGTTCTCAATGAAATCTAATGTTCTGATGAGAAAATGTCCTGCGCTGTGATCTGTGTAACAGCTGCACTTTTCTTATGACACAAGGGGGCGCCAAAGTACCAACAGGTCCTGATAAAATGCAACAAATGTGATTAGGAACCTTTAAAAATAACACTAATAATTCATAAAATGCACAAAGGTGCTTCAATTAACTTATTTACTACAATTTCTCTATGAAAATTCACATTAGTTCTTGAGATTCAAATCTTTTTGAATTAGGAGAGCATCTAGAAAAACTTTTCCTCTACAGTAGAGACTACTTCACATCACATCTTAGTTTTTATACTCACAGGATTTCCTCAACAAGATTATAGACGATGCAGATTTTTGCAAAACAAGTTTTGCTCTTTTAAGATCAGCTTTGATCACTCATCATCTAAATAAATCAGGATCACTCTGAAGTGCGGAGACGACGATCATTCTGTCACATCCACCATCACGGATAGATTTTTTTCGGCAATGCGAAGAAAGTCGGTCGCCTCCAAACGTTTGAAATAATTAGAGATTTTAACCTCCGCCAATGCCCAACAGTCCCCTGAAATTAAATCAAGCTGCACCAAATTGAACACACTTATATCAGTAGTCTTAATCTGCCTAAAAGAAAAATCTCACACGTTCAAAGAGAAATTCCAGATCCGTCCCGTAATAATAATAAAAAACAAACAGAAATGAAGAACCTCTTTGATGAAGGTAACAAATGCAAAAGACAACAGCGAGGATGCAAGTGAGTCAAATTTAATAATGCACTCCACAGAAAGAGGCAGAGTGTTTGGTTTGTTTTCTTCTCCCCACCAGCGTCACCACCACCCACTCAAACAAGAACAGGAGCTATGAAGTCACACGTAAAAATGTCAGTAAACTTTGTACGTCAACGTCCCCCTTCCCCCTCACAGAATGTAGGTTTCATCTGTGCAAAATAAAATACTTCAAGACTGAATGAATCAAACGGAACACAGATAAAACAGGGCAGAGCAAGAGGTATCACCTCCGCGCGCTAAACTCTCCTATACAAATAAATAAATCCGACATGGGAGGAGGGGTTTAGCGATCGGGGAAAAAAAAAAACTTTTACATACACACAAGAATCAGCATCCTCTCAGTTTAAAGCAAAGTTTCTCTCAGGCAATTCTGAAAATGAAATTTTTTTTTATCTAGTGCAGCTTCGGGATTTCCTTAAATATGGTATATTTTCCTACAGGTCTTAGCGTCTCTCGGGTCGAGATGATTACTTTGAAATAACAAATTAGGAGAAATCTGAGTACAGAAGGCAAACTAAGTGGACTTGATGTGCTTTTCAAGGAGCAGTAATCAGGATTCTGTTTGTTGGTGCTGGTATCTTCTTCTTTTTTCCTAACACAGAGCTCAGAGAACACATGCATTATTACAAGTCTCAGAGATTTACATGGGGGAGATAAAAAGGAAAAAAAAAAAAAAAATGAAGACAATAATCTCCCAGAGCCTAGTGTCCAGTCTCAAGAGTTTACAGTTTCTTCTTTACCTCCCCCTCACTCACTCGTCTTCATCCTCCTCCTCCTCGCCGTCGGAGAGAGAGGCACAGGGGCGGATCTGCCGGTATCTGTCCAACCACTTCTCCACCATCTGGGTGACCAGGGGGTGGTTGCGGCGGCGGGAGCTCTTCTGCATGGCTGCCAGCATTCCTCCTTCTGTCACGCAGCAGTCCAGCCATTCCCTCAGCAGCTTCTCCTGCTGCTCCTCGTTGCCCATCTGAGTCACAGAAAAACAGAACAGGTTTAAGATGTGAAACCTCTAGAGACCATAGTTGTGCGTCACACAACCAAACGTCCACTTCTCAGATAGATGGTGGAAGCAACTGGCGGGATTCTGACACCGTCATTTTACCTCAGTGTTCTTCTAAGGGAGCATATTTGACCCTCTGAGCAACAAGGACGTTTTAAAATGTTTTCCCAATAGAAATCATAAGAAATGAAAATGTCACCTTTTAAATCAAAGATCAAGATAAACTGAGAAATTCCTTGAAAATACAAAACACAAATCTGATTTCCAGCTGTTCATCGCTGTATCAGAACTCGCCTCTTGTGCGGACAGGAAGTGAATGTGCAGCAGCTTCCTCTCGCTGTCCACCAGTGGCAAGAAAGTGACAGTGACATCATCGTCAGTGTTGAGATTGGCGCCCGCACCACGATTGTCGTAGCCATCGTTCTCCATGGCCACCAGGGCCGAGAAGTGGCCCCGCGTATAGCCCAGGGCGATGGGGCTCTTCCAGCAGAAACTTTGCTCCCATAACAGAGGCAGGTACACACCTGAACACACAATACAGACACACACACACACAGTCAGGGCAGCTGGGAGATACCGTACGCCACGACACTGGAGCCACCTGGAGGGAACAGGCCCTGCAGCTGTACGCTCAAATGACACCGAGTGTGGATGTCAGTCAGGACCAAGCACCATCACAGATCTGACCTGACATCAGATGTGGCTGCATTTCAGCTCACTGGAGACAACTGGGTCATTGAGAGCAGCTCTGTGGTGCCCGGCTCCTTCAGGAGGAATATAGACATGAGGTTTTCAACCATGGTGTCTCCTGTACATAACTGATCGCAGAATAATCTGCCGTTCTCTGGGGTTATATAAATGAGTTTTAAAGATGCTTGGAGCAAAATTCGTTTCAAAATTTAGAAGTAGAATCAAGACGCTCAGGATGAAATGATGATGCAGAAGAGTTGGAATTTAATTTGCAGTTCTGGCAACAATGAAAAAAAATGACTTGTTCACAAATCTGTAAAGGAGCTGTTTCATTTAACAGCAGGTAAAACCAAAACCACCTCCATGGCTACAGCCAAAACACCACACTCTTTATAATTTATAAACCTGTGCTTCACTCAAATATTTGTACTAGTCGTTCTTGCATGAAGTGAATTTGCCTGCTTACCTTGAAAACGAGTGTATCCTAACGTTTCCCCACGGAAACTTTTGTAGTATTTCACTCCGTAGACTATGATGGGTCTGCGAAGAATGTGCGCAAGAACAAAAATGTGGGTCTGCTCCAGGCTGGCCCCGGGCTGCGTGGAGGGAAAAGGAGAAAGAAACAAACAAAAAAATGACACATCGTACATACAACCCCCCCCATGATACACTCAGTATCAATGCAACTAAAAATAGTGGAGAAGTGTGAGACTGCCAAGCACTGTGGTCATATTGCAAAACAGTGTCCAGTACACTAAGAACCTGCAACGCTGCAGCTCTGAGGACGTCTACGCTCCACCCTCACTCCCCTTCTCATCTCTCACTTGTACTATCTACATAAGCAGAAAGCAGATTACATAAGTGCTTTTAAAAACACTGCGGATACAGTTTCATTTTCAAGGAATGGTGTGTGTGTGTGTGTATATGTAAAAGCTGATCGTCTCCGTCACTGTCAAAGCCTCAGATGAGGTTATCACACGGCAGCTTTCGCGGGGTTTGTTTATGAAGCCGCGTGGAGTGGCTCTCTGAGATAAATGCTCGTAATCCCAAGGTCACATGTTGGGAAGCAGTGCTGCTTCAGCAGGCGTGGCAGCCAAGCAGATGAGCTGTCCAACTATAATAACTGCTCATATCTTCCCTGTCATTCACGCACAGCACGGTTTCCACAGTGCTCTCATTCTCGTCACTGCAGCTCACTCTGAGTTAATGATCGTTAACTCTCCGAAAGCCTTAGTATTTATCAACACTGTTATTAAGTGTTCAATTTTTACCAGCAGAGGATCAGTGCAGTTACAGCTTTTACCCACAGAGCGAAGTAACAGTATCTGTTGACATGTGAATCTAGATTCTACGATTCAAATATATCTCTGCCTCTTTGTCTTGGATTTTAATTTTCTTCTGAATCACATAAAAGGCGTTTGAACAACAGCTGCATGAAGACATGAGTCCACATGAAAGACTCGCTCTTTCCTTTTAATGACAATTTACAACATCCGATACAAGATTGTGGCTCTTGCAAATGATGAAACCTTAACAAAACAAAATCTTGTGATGAAAAACAACCGTGAATTTATCGCAGGTTAAAGTCGACCTGTGGGAGTTTATAAAAACAATGGATTGTTGTGAACGTTTGTATCTCCTGCTGTAGAAGCACATGATGCAATGCAAATGTGCAGTGGAGCCATTTCATTATTCTACTGACAAATGTAAATATTAGAAGTTTGTATGGAAAGACTGAATAAAAGGAAAATCATCTGTCACAAGGTCAAGTTTAACATTTTAAACTTAAACTAATAAAGCTTTGGTGAGATTAACACAGTATAAATATCAATAATTCTGACTGTTTACACAGTCCAAAGGGTGGTTTTGGTTGCCAAAATAAGGAAGTGAAGTTCCTGCATTTCTAAATGTGGACCAGGTAATGATTTTCTAAAAAAGGTCACAGTCAAAAAATAATTAACGTGTTTACATTCGAATTTCAAACAACCAAAGAACACATACATTTGTAGTGCTGTGTCGTCATTGTATAAATGTCCCCTTTAACAAAGGGGAGAGTGGGAATTAGACATTATAATAAAAAATGAAGGAGTTTCACCGATGATGGCACTGACCATGTAATTTTGACCACACTGTTTTTCTTTTTGTGATGCTGCCTGTGGAGAGTACATTCATTTTCTTTTCGTTAGTTTTCCATTTTCCGACTCCCTCAGATCAGAGCCATTTTCTGACTTTCCACTGATAGTGAACTCAAACAGAAGGAAGTGAGTAAACCAGGAGGAATCTCATAATTACCTGGCTGGCCAAAGACAGGATGAACGCCCAATCCTCCTGCCACTGTTCCTCTCTCAAGGAGAAATGCAAACCAAAGCTCTGCGAGTACCACGACTCCCACTCCTTCCAGCGTGTGTAAAACCTAAAATGGTTCCATGATAGATTAGTTTTTAAGTTAGTTTCAATGTGTTTTGGGATTAATGTTATCATCCCCTAAGCGCTGGTAGTAAACAA